TTTGGTACATAATGGAGGGTGTAGTTTGGTACATAATGGAGGGTGTAGTTTGGTACATAATGGAGGGTGTAGTTTGGTACATAATGGAGGGTGTGGTTTGGTACATAATAGGTGTACTTTGGTACAAAATGGAGGGTGAACTAGGATACATAATAGAGGGTGTAGTTTGGTACATAATAGAGGGTATAGTTTGTTACATAATATAGGTTGTAGTTTGGTACATAATTGAGGGTGAAGTTTGGTACATAATGGAGGGTGTAGTTTGGTAGGGTGTAGTTTGGTACATAATGGAGGGTGTAGTTTTGTACATAATGGAGGGTGTAGTTTGGTACATAATGGAGGATGTAGTTTGGTACATAATGGAGGGTGGACTTTGGTACAAAATGGAGGGTGAACTAAGATACAGGGTGTAGTTTGGTACATAATAGAGGGTGTAGTTTGGTACATAATAGAGGGTATAGTTTGTTACATAATATAGGTTGTAGTTTAGTACATAATTGAGGGTGAAGTTTGGTACATAATGGAGGGTGTAGTTTGGTAGGGTGTAGTTTGGTACATAATGGAGGGTGTAGTTTGGTATATAATAGAGGGTGTACTTTGGTACATTATGGAGGTTGTAGTTTGGTACATAATGGAGGATGTAGTTTGGTACATAATGGAGGGTGTACTTTGGTACAAAATGGAGGGTGAACTAAGATACATAATAGAGGGTGTAGTTTTGTACATAATGGAGGGTGTAGTTTGGTACATAATAGAGGGTGTAGTTTGTTGCATAATATAGGTTGTAGTTTGGTACATAATGAAGGGTGTGGTTTTGTACATAATAGAAGGTGTACTTTGATACAAAATGGAGGGTGAACTAGGATACATAATGGAGGGTGTAGTTTGATACATAATAGAGGGTGTACTTTGGTACATTATGGAGGTTGTAGTTTGGTACCATAATGGAGGGTGTAGTTTGGTATATAATAGAGGATGTAGTTTGGTACATAATAGAGGGTATAGTTTGTTACATAATATAGGTTGTAGTTTTGTACATAATGAAGGGTGAAGTTTGGTACATAATGGAGGGGGTAGTTTGGTACATAATGGAGGGGGTAGTTTGGTATATAATAGAGGGTGTACTTTGGTACATAATGGAGGGTGTAGTTTGGTACAGTATGGAGGGTGTAGTTTGGTACATAATGGAAGGTGTGGTTTTGTACATAATAGAAGGTGTACTTTGGTACAAAATGGAGGGTGAACTAGGATACATAATGGAGGGTGTAGTTTGGTACATAATGGAGGGTGTAGTTTGGTACATAATAGAGGGTGAACTCCGCCGGGGCTTAAAGGGTGTACTTTGGTACATAATGGAGGTCGTAGTTTAGTACATAATAGAGGGTGAACTATGATACATAATTGAGGTCATGGTTTGGTACATAATAGAGGGTGTACTTTGGTACATAATGGAGGGTGTACTTTTGTACATAATACAGGTTGTAGTTTGGTACCTAATAGAGGATGAACTAGGATACATAATGGAGGGTGTAGTTTGGTACATAATAGAAGGTGTACTTTGGTACATAATGGAGGGTGCTCTTGGGTACATAAGGGATGATGTATTGGAGTACCTGGTACATAATGGAGGGGTGAACTGATGTACATAATGGAGACAGTACAGGAATACATAAATGAGGGTGAACTGAGATAGAAAATGGATGACATGAAGGGATACATAATGGAGGATGTACTGGGATACATAATAGATGGTGTAATAGTATACATAATGAAAAGTGTACTGGGGTACATTCTGGAAGGTAAGCTGAGGACATAATGGAGGATTAACTGAGATACACAATGAAGAGAGTTATGCGGTACATATATAATGAAGGATGAACTGAGATACAAAATGAAGAGAGTACTGG